GCAGTGAGGGGCCACAGTCATGGTGAGGCCACCGAAGCTGTGTGAAGGTGGAGGAGAGCTGGGGGCGTGCTAGAGGTGGCAAGCGGGGAGATTACTGAGGAGTCAGAGTAGTCCTGGCTGAGTTAGACACTGGGCTAGGTGGGGGCTGTGTCGAAGCAGAGGGGCCAGGCAGAAGAGAGAGGGAGGAAGGGGGTTGGAGCAGTTCAGGGCTGTTTCGGAAGCACGGTACAGCGCCAGAGTGTGGTGGCGGTGAACCTCATCTGCTGTTGGACCACAGGCTGGCAGCGGCAACATGGGGGAGCGTGGAGCAGCACTTCGTGTTCCATAGCGGCATCCGGGTCTGGGCGGGAGAAATGACCTCTACACAGGGTTGCACTTCACACAGTAGTATGTACCATGACATGCAGGGAGTTGCAGTCCTCAGGCACCGGGATTCCAGCCTGCCGTATTGTCCTGTCCTGGGCAGAGCCTCCGGTCAGCCATGTTGTTCTGTGCAGCATGCCAGGAGATTGCCCCAGAGCTTTCTGCTGCCTGTCTAGTCCTCTTATGACACCTCCTGCATTTCATATTCTGTCTCAGAGATTTCTGTTTTGCTCACATACTTCCTTTGGACCACACTAGTGCCCTTGGGACCCTTCCTCAGCCCACCTTTGTGCCCCAGAGCACTTTTATTGCCCTCTATAACATCTTGGATGTCTCTATTGAGTCCCTTCTTCCTGATGATATCTGTACTCATCTCACATCCCTTCCAGAGATTCTCTTCGTGTCTCTGAGCCTTCCTGTACCACTGTAGCTCCAGTTAGTACTCCAGAATACTCTGTTCTTCATCTGTGCCACCTAGGGTGTCCAGATTAAGTCCCTGATCCTCTGAAAACATCTGTGCTCTGCTCTAATGCCCTCCAAAATTCCTAGTTTTTCCCCTGAGCCTTTGTTTGCCATTGTAGTACCCTTTAGATCCTTTGAGTTCCCTTGCAACTCATTATCAGGCTTTCCTTGTGCCCCAGAACATTCTGTTAGCCTTCTACCCAACCCGAGATCCCTGTTTTGGCCTCCAGAATCACCTGTGTTGCACAGAGAGAAGCTGTCCGGAGGACTCTTTGTGTCCCAGAGCATTCTGTTGCCTGTCCGGTCCTTTGAGGAACTCTTCTAGTTCTTTTCAGTGACTAGGTTAGACATTTTAGGAGTCCTGGTGAGCTGAAATTGTAGGTTCTGTACAGGAAAATCCCCTCAGGCAGTGGAGGTCTCATAAGCGAAGGCCTCTTCCAAGTCATATTTCTGATGTCTTATTCGGCACTACACAGAATGCACTCCTGGTATAGCTTTTGTAGCGTATGTGTCCCAACAGAAACAAAGGGCAGCAGTATAGCATTTTCTTTGTTAGAAAGAAAACTACAGCCTCATGCTTCCATTGATAGTATTGTTACTAATTTAGATCAACTGTTCTTTAGTGTAGCCTCCGATAACTGCAAACGCTTAACAGCTTAAAAGAAAGGTTTATGTTTGTCAGAGTAAAAGCCAATTTAAGTTGCCTACCATTGTTGCTGTATTATATGCAGTCACAGTAAAATTACAGATACAGTCTTTCATAGTATCAGTCTATTTCTTTTTCCTATGCCTAGCATGCTGTGAATTTAAGGCAGAGTAAAAGCCTTAGTTCTGCCTAGCTGGTTGTCTGTAGGCATTTTGCTGTTTTTTCCCTCCTCTTTTTTAAGGGTTTGTAGGTGGGGTGGTATGGTAGATGGAGCTTAGTGGCATACCAAAGTCAGGTATCGCCCCATGGGTTTTATTCAGTTTATGGCCTTTAAAGGAGTTAGTGGTCTGGGTTTGGGTTTCTTGTTTTGTTTTTGTTTTTGTCAATAGCAGTCTTTGAAGCCAGCCAAGGTATTTGGGAAGATATGTTTTTAAGCTCAGGGAAGTAGAGGATCCGCTTTAAGGTAAGACCAACAGGATGAGTCAAGGCAAGGCTGAATAGTGGGCATAGCACAAAGCATATTTATAGGGTGCTGTTGTTTTTCAAGTCAATAAATGATTAAAGGGTGTTTGAGGTGAAGGATGCTACAGCTACATTTTTTTTTGACAAATATAGATTATATTTTCTTGAACTTCAAAGACTACTGTAGAAAGAGCGTTGTTTTCTTACTAGATCTCTTGGAGATAATGAAAGCAGGGGTCATCACCATCCTCTATAGGACTCAAGGTAAGAGAACATAGTGGTGATCAGGGCAAGCATGTTGTCTATACTTCCACTCAAAGTTCTTGTGCATCTCAAGGAAGTAGGGGATGTGCAAGGCATATACCTTTTCCTCTAGTTTTTTGTAAGTGCTGCATGCAGCCCTGGAAGGGCAAAGCTCTATGCTGATGAACAGTCCTAGAAGGTATGTTGCTTGGATTGGGGTTAAATTGGAAAGTAGCATGAATCAACTTAGTGATGTTTTTCCCTTTGGTTTTATAGGTGTGGTGGAGGGCTGTCCTCAAAAGTGGCTAAGGATTTTAGGTGAGGCTGGGTAGGAGAGAGAAGTGGTATAGCTGGCAATTGTTTTTGAACACAATGGTCACTTTGTAACTCTAGTTTTCTAGGTACTACAGGAAAGAATACTAACAGCATTATCTCACTGTGGAATCAGAGTGGAGAAGGTGAGTGCAGTGACATGGTGTTCTGAGGGTGCTCCTGTGGAAGAGGTCTGTGGTGGCTGACATGCCAGTGACTAATGGTGCCCTATTACTGTGGAAGATGAAGAACCTGGTGACTGCAGGAGCATCCTGGCTAGAGGATGTAGTCTTTGTCAAGGATGGGTTCTGACCCACCTCGCACTCTGAAAGCTAGGTTGAGAGGCAAATACTAAGTCTGGGTAGGGGAAGAATGGGAATTGGAGAGTGGGGTAGGCAGGGGGTTTTAAGTCAGTGCTGTGGAGAGGGCTGCTCAGGATCACTTGTGTTCGGGTACAGATAGAGGGTGCTGGGTCTGTTCCACGTGATGCAAACGTGTTCCAGGCAGAGCAGTTCCAGACTGTGTCTATGTTGCGGTGTAGTTTGTATAGTCTGTGTTCTGTGTCCTATGCCATACTTTCATCGGGTCTTGATGACCATATTGCTCTTAACATTTGGTGAGCTCTGCATGCACCTCAGTAGGCATCCTTAAGGTCTTAAATGCCTCATCTCTTTAGCATAGCACTAGTCAAGCACTTCTTGCCTCACAGCTGAAGTGCGGATCTGCGTTTTGCACTGTAGGTGTTTCTGGTTCGCAGTGGTAATTTAGGCTGTGTCAGCAGATTTTCTCTTGAGAGTTCTGTTTCTGTGGGGCCCTATTCTGGGGTTTTCTTCCCTGTGTCCTTACAGTCTTGGGTCTCGGAGCCCAGCTTCTCACCCATACATCATCCCAGTTCTGATGGCAGCTTTCTGCCACAGGCTGTGGCATTCGACTGTTATCCAGAGCTGTTGTAGAGCATCAGCACTATGCTGTCATGGCACTGTAGGGCTTCTTCGCTGGTGAGGTTCTCCTGCCAGCAGCTGGTCTTCTTACATCTTTTGGTCATGTTGTTGGTAGTGTCTGTGTGTGCACTTGAGTTGGAGCTGTCCTGCCTGGGAGTGTAGTAATGATAGAGTAAGGGGCAGCATAGCAGTACTGTGCTGCAGTAACTTGTTGATCTGCCCAGTTTCTTTTGCATTGGATCATACGATCCATTTCTGTGCGAGTAGCCAGCAGCAGCCAGGTGACTTGTTTCATATTGTTTTTTTGACAGATGCAGAGTGACCAGCTGCATATTAGAGGGCAATGGAGGAGGCCAGCAGAGTGCTGTGAGAAAGTGGGCTAGTGTGTGGTATGGGAGGACAAACGCTATTGTTGGTGGTTATGACTAGTTCTAGTTGTGGATCACTTCTACTCTGGTGAAATTCCTCCCTCCGTCTTGGAGTCCATTGTGGTTTCTCCTTTCTGTGTCTGTGGCTGGTTGGCTCCTCCTCCCTGTTCTTCAGTTTCTTCCTTCTGGTCTCTTTAGCCTGTGGTGATTTTACTTCTTTCTCTCTGTCTGTCTCTGGATCCCAATTATTTAATTCCTCCTTCTCTTCCCTGTAGCCTGTCTTTCTGCTTTTTATCCACTTTTTATCTATCTCCCTTCCCCTGTCTGGATCCCTGTCCTGATGTTTTAATGCCTCCCTCTCTGCCTTCTAGCTGTTGCTATACTTTCTGTAAGTGTTGCTCTGTGTCTGGCTCCTCGTCCTTATCCTTTCATTCCTCTTCCTTGTAGCCTGTCACTATATGTGTCTTTTACTGTCTCTCTCTGTCCAGCTCTGGATCCCTGTTTCTTCCTTTTTCTCTATATGTGCCCTGTTCCCCCTGGCTATTTTTATCTTCTCCATCTCTCTCTGCCCAGCGCCGGATCCATATTTTTGCATTCCTCGCTCTATGTCCAGTAGCCCGGTGGTATTTTGTCTTTCTCGTACTCTGTCTGGCTCCCTGTCCCTGTTGTTCGGTTACTTCCTTCTTGTCCCCGTAGCACGTTGTGATTCTGTTTTTCTCTGCCTCTCCTTTCCCAGCTCCCCGTCCCGGACTTTTCATTCCTCCCTCTCTGCCCTGTTGCCTCTTGGGTCGTGTCCCCGCCTTCCTCCATCTGCCTCTTCCTTGCTTCCTGTCCCTGTTTCTTTAATTCCTCCCTCTGACGCATAGCCTGTTGCTTTTTTCTCCATCTGTGTCCATCCCAGTGTCCCCATTCTTTAATCATTCCTCTCTGACCTGTACCCTGCCGCTATTTTTGTCTTTCTTTGTCCCTCTCTGTCCAGCTCCCTGTCCCAGTTTATTAATTCTTCCCTCTTCTTGCACTCACCGCTATTCCCTGCAATCTCTATCTCTTTCCGTCTGGCTCCCTGTCCCCAGTTTTTAATTCCTCCTTCTGCCCTGTGTAGTCTGGAATTTTTCTTTGGTGTCTCTCTCTATGGCTGGTTCCCCCTCTCTGTGTTTTAATTCCTCATTCTCTGTCCCATAGACCCACGCCATTTGCCTGTATTTCTCCCCCCTCTCTCTCTCTGTCCGGCTCCCTGACACTATTTTTTATTTCCTCCCTATCTGTCTTGTAGCCCATCGCTGTCTTTATGTTCCTTTCTCCGTGTCTGTCTGGCTCCCACTCCCTGTTCTTGATTTGCTCTCTCTTCCCAGTAGCCCACAGCTACATTTTTTTGTGTCGTCCATTGCCCTGGCCCTGTTGATGAATCCCACCCTCTGTGCCCTGCGGTCTGTTGCTTTTCCCCATTCTATTTCTGCCTCTCTCCCTGTCTGCCTCCCCATCCCTGGTTTTTAAATTCCTCCCTCTCCGTCCCGTCGCCCTTGCGATCTTTTGCCTTTCGCTGTCTCTGCATGGCCAGCTCTCTGTCCCTCTGCATTAATTCCTCCCTCTCCATGCTGTAGCCTGTCGCTTTTGTCCTTTCTTGATCTGTCCCTGGCTCCTCGATAACCCTATTTTAGAATTCCCCCTCTGTTCTTTGTGTACACATTGATATTCTTTCTCCTCTTCAGCTGTTTTTTTTTCCGGTTCCCCCTCCCCGTTTCTTAATTCTACCATCTCTGCCCTGCAGTCTGTGGTTATGCGTTTTTTTCTAGTGTCCCAGACCCTGCTCCTCCTTTTGGTCAGTCTCCACCTCTGCCCAGCAGCCCATTGCTGCGGGAGCTGTCCGACCGCTCCTGGCCGGAGAGCCGAGCACAGCTGCGGGAACAACTGCTGCGGCGTCCCAGGGGCAGGGGGAGCGTCGGGGGGCGCGGGACCTGGAGCAGCCTCGCTGCTGGGACTTGTTCTGTGTGTGACTGGATCAATGCTTGCCGCCACAGGGCTGCGTTTTGTCCTTCCTTTGCAGCGGGCGAGGGGCTGTGAGGGAACCCCGGGGGGGCCAGGAGGTGACCCAGGGCCGGGGTCGGGCCTTACGGGGGCGCCGCCTGCTGGCCGGCAACCGGTACTGCAGACGGGGACCTGCGCATGCGCAGTGAGGGCGTCACGTGCCGAGCTCGGCACTGCCACCTGCCAAAAAAAATGCGGTACTGCAGCCCCGGATCTGCGCATGCGCGGTGGGTGCCCTCAGTGCCGCCATCGCCACTGCCTCCTGACGACCGAAATGTGGTACTGCAGTTGCAACGGGGCGCATGCGCGGTGGGGCGCCCTATGCCGATGTCGGCACTGCCGCCTGCCGAACATAATGCGGTACTGCAGCCTAGCAGCCGCGCATGCGTGGTGGGGGCGCGCTGTGCAGCGGTCGCTGCTGCCTCCGCCGTTAACGGTAGCGTTCCGGAGCTGCGGCTGCAGCGGGGGCGAAGGTGGGCGGGAGCGCGCGAGCGACCGGAGCAGCGGCGGCTTCCAGGGAGAGGCCCGAGGAGGGGGGCGGTGCCGGTGGGGCGGGGGAGCGCCGCTCTGGGTCGCAGCCGGGGACGGTGCGGGGCGGGCTGGCCGGAGCCGCCCTGTGGAGGGCGGGGGGCTGAACAGCGGTGTCCCCCGCAGGGTGAGAGCGCAGGGCGACCTGCCTCCCGCGGCATGCTGGGAGCTGTAGTCTTCCGGCACCGGGCGGCCATGCTTTGCTTGCCCCAGGGCTTGCCGGGAGCTGTACTCTTCCGACACTGGGCGGCGGGCGGCCAGGCTGTGCTTGCCCCAGGGCATGCCGGGAGCTGTAGTTTTTGCGGACCCGGCTGCCGGACAGCTGCGGTGCTCTCTGTGGTGCGCGGCCCGGCGCAGTCCTCTCTACCACCGTGGCCCCCGCAGCGCGGCTCGAGGTGTAGTTTTGGTGCCGGTTTTATGTGCTTTCCTGCGGGCGCCCGGCTGCTCCCCGAAAATCCGGTACTGCCGCCCCGGAGGCGCACATGCGCGGTGGGGTCTCCCTGTGCCGCGCTCGGCACTGTCGCCTGCCGAACGAAGCAGTACTGCAGCCCCGGAGCCGCGCATGCGCGGTGGGGGGCGTCCTCTGCAGCAATCGCTGCTACCTCCGCGGTTAACGGCAACGTGACGCGGCGGTGCCGGCGGAGCGGCGCCGCCGTGCCTGTTGCTTCCTCCCGGTAAGCAGCTGCCGCCGCCGCCGCCCCCCGTGCGCGGTACTGCAGCCCGGCGTTCGCGTGCCGGCTCTGGCCCCTTCGGCGCGCTGTCGGCAGCCAGTGCAGCAGCGGTGCCCGGGAGAGAGAGGGGCGCGGTGGCGGCGGGTGGAGGCTGCCGGTGAGGCGAGCGAGCCCGCCCCTTGGGCGGGTGTGGGGGTGTCTCCAGGGGGCGGGGGGGGGCGGGAAGCTGCACCCCCTCCGCTGCGGCAGGCGAGCCGGGCCAGCGCAGCCCTGGGGAGTTCCCTGAGAGCGGGAAGGGGGAAAGGAGGCGGGCGTCCCCGACTCGCCAGAGATCCCCTTGAGCCGCCCCCGCCCCGCTCGCCCCGTGCCGCTGCCCTCAGCTCCAGCCCCTCCCCTGGAGCCTGTCCCGTAGCCTCAGGCCCCCCCCAAGCCCTGTCGTGAGGGCAGCGAGCTGGCCCACAACCGCATCTCCAGCAGCCCCTGCGGAAGGAGGAGCCGTGGCCAGGGGTGGGCTCTGGTGCTGACAGTCTCTGTTTCGTCTTTCCCTCTTCCAGAGGCTGCGCTGAGGATGCGGTTTTCCGTTCCTCCCCCGGGGATGCTGCTGACTGCACCCGCCTCAGGCTTGCGTGGGCTGTCTCTGCCTGGCCTCGTGCACCTTGCGGCATGGCGGCAAAAAGGAACAGGCGGAGCGCTGGCTGGCGGTGGGCAGGAGTTGCCGTGGCTGACGCTGGAGAGGCCAGAGAAAGGCAAAGAGGCCTAAACTGGTGGCCATCCGGCCGGCAGCTGCCTCCCGCTGCAGGAAGAGAGAGCCAGCCTCTCCGGGTGAGGAAGGATCCCGCTTCGCAGTCTGCAGCAGCTCAGACCACCAACGTGCACCGCAGGGTCTGTATGTCTCACTGAAACCGCGGTACAGCCACGTAGTGCACGAGCGAGCGGGGCTATGTGTGGAGGAGGCGTCGTCTCGTAATTTTACAGTTACCTTAACAAAGTAGCTTGAATCTTAGAATATTATTTTGATTTTAGTTTAGAATATGATTTTGATTTTAAAATGGAGTTATAGCAGCTATGTGAATATAAAGCCCACTAAGGCCCTTAGTAGCTAATATGGTGTGTGCCTTGAACACTGTACGAATCGTTATGGACTCTGAATTAAAACAATGGGTACTGGTTATGGATCTCGAGTCAAAACAATAGGTGCCAGAAGATACTGGGTTTGGTTTGGAAGATCAGCCAAAGAAGAAATGAGCATCGGCCAAAGATGAATTGAGCATGCGGACACAATGAGGAAGACTATTAACAACCACCAGAGGACCCCCGTCCAACATAACCACGCATGCACTAGAGACATTTGCATTTGATAATGATTTCCAGGAAATAACATGAATATGCCGATCATTACCCTCCCCTCATTCTATTCAAATCAATCAGTAAAGATGACCAATGATTTCTGTAGAATAGGAATATAGGTAAGGTGAGGTAACTGAAAGCCAATCATTATTAAGGTCAAACTAAACTTTATGAATTTTGTTGATATTATGTAACCATTACTCTGCTGGAAAAGTGTATAAATATGTTGTGCTTTGTACCTGTCAGTGAACACATTTTTTGGTGGAGCTATCCCTTGTGTTCCCCAGCACTGGAATAAAGAAGTGCCTGCTTATCTGCTTTGTGTAGATAAGTTTTATTCGTGATTGCAACCGCTAACATCTCTGTCCTCTCTGCTGCCACAGAGGACCATTATAAAGGTACAGGAGAAGAGGACCACATTTTGTCTAATAGAGAAGAGGAAGGAAAGTCTAAACGAGGGCCCCCTTGGCTGGGCATAGATAAATGTGCACAGTGTAAAATTTGGTCATTGGAAGAATGAATATATATAGAATTGGCAACTCTCAAAGTGACTACAAGTTATGTATGAGGCTCTTTACAGCGATCCAAATTTTAGAAAAGTAAAAGAATTTACTACTGGGAAAAGAAAAGGGGGGAACTGATCTGCGGAAACACTAACCCCATAGTCCCCTCCTTTCAGGGGATGCTCACACTAACCCGATAGCCCCCCTCCTTCTTGGGGTGCTCACCAGATGGCCTCCATCAAAGCATGGTAACTCCTTTGCAATGGAATGAGTGTCCTGGGTTGAGTGAGTGGTGGAGTCGTTTTGGTGGCAGGGGAGGGGGCTATAGGGGCGGCCCTCTGTGAGAAGCTTCCTGAAGCTCCCCCAGCTCCAAGTCAGCTCCACCTCTGTTTGGAAACTGAGCCAATCGGCTGCGCCTCTGCGATAACGTAATTAAGAAGGGACGTGGTGACGAGCAGTTGGACTTGTGAGGAGGAGTTGCTGCAGCTGCATGAACACCAAGGTCAGTGGAGGAACAGAGGAAGAAAGGATGGGGGAGGTGTGCAGGATCAGAGACCCCCTTTATCCTGTGGTGAGGTGGCAGGGCACCCCCCCCCCCCCGCCACCCATGGAGATCTATGGTGGAGCAGACACTGATTTATGGCCTGTGGCTTCCGCCTGCTTGATCAAGGTGCTGTGCCCGAAGAAGGCCGGGGTCTTGTGGGAAAAGGTAGCCCCACTGCTGTAATTCAGCGCTGGGAGGATTGCAGCATGCGGGGGTGTCCCACACCGGAGCAGCTCGGGAAGGGCTGCAGCCGTGGGAGGGAATCCAGTTGGAGAAAGTTGGTGACCCACAACGGAGCAGTGTGGGGAACGCTGTGGCCTGTGGGAGGAACTCATGTCGGAGAAAGTTTGTGGAGGACTGTCTCCTGTGAGAGGGGGACCATGATGAAGCAGGGGGAAGAAGTTCCAGAAGCTCCCCTCACTGAAGATGGAGAAAGTGGCAGCATTGGCTGCACCCCCCATTCCCTGCCCCTGCACTGCTGGGGGAGGAGGTAGAGATATCGGCAGCAGAGCTGAGCCCGGGAAGAAGGGAGGGATGGGGGGAAGGTGTTCTCAAGATGTGGCAATGTTTTTCACTGTCCTACCCTCTTACGTGTTATTAGTGTCTGTAATAAAGGTATGGTTTTTTTTTTTTTATTTCCCCTAGCGAGTCTGCCTTTTGCTCGTGACCATAAAGGGGGATTTTTTCCCCATCCCAGTTGTATCTTGAACCCCAAGCCTGGCTCACTGTCCCTTCTTATTGCCGGAAGAGAAGGGAGAGAGAGCCGCTGCGTGGTGGTTGGTTGCCAACCAGGCTCAAACCGCGACAATGAGAAAGAACAAGATGGGCCATTGATGGTCCCTATCAAAGGACGGTAACTCCCTTGTGATTGAATTGAAGGAAGACGGGATGGGCCATGTCTGGTATCTCTTGTCCTTGAGATAAGAGGGGAACTAAAACCACTGAACCATAAAGACAAAGGAGCTGCAAATTAGCCCAGACTTGAAGGACAAGGTGTACGTGACTACAGGACTGAGTTTGCGCAGAAGTAAGGGTCAACTAGCGAGCACCATGAAGGAGACTATGAGCCTCCATCTGAAGACCCCTGCCGACGACCACCAAGAAGCACTGCGCAAGTGCGACGGGAGGAATTTGGGGCGGGGAGGTTATGGTAATGATTTCTTGGAACTAATTGTAATATTCCCTCCCTATCCTCGGAGAAGTGATGCATATGTATTAGAGTAGATGAATATGTAGCGTTTTTAAGCAATAAAAAGGAGCAGCTTTTGGCTCCAAGTGGGGCACGCATTTGGAAGAAATGATTCCCCTGTGCGCCCAGCGCTGAATAAACATACCTAGTTTAAAACCTTACTGGTTGTAAAGTCATGATTCCGTGCCTCATCGTCTTGAAATGTCATTTGTATCATAATTGTATTAGAGCTGCTGACCAATCGGTGTCTAATAGGAATGTTTGAAAAAGCACCAACCTGTGATTTGGGTGTATAGAAGAAGCACCTGCACCTGCCGTTAGCTGTGCTGGATTTGAGGAAAATCCACTGAGCCCCCAGGCCTGAATAAAAGACGGTATTGCTCCTGAGCCTGTTAAGATCACCTTATTGCAGGACGGGTACCCACGGGCTCCAGCTGTAGGCTGAGGCCGGGGCAGCCCAGGTGGGACCGGTGAGGTGAGGATGGGACCAGGCCAAGGTTTTAAATAGGCTGCAGCTGGGGAGCTGGGGCTGGACTGGGGCAGCCCCAGGTGCAGCCAGTGAGGCTGAGGCTGAGGCTGAGGTCGGCCCTACCGTGCAAAGGGGCTCTAGCTGGAGTCGGGGGGGGTGGGTGGTGGTGGTGGTTGTGGTGGTTCCTGCCCGCGGGAGCTGGCTGAGGAGCAAAAGAAAGAGTTTCAGCCGCGGCTGCCCGCGGCCAGGAGCGGCCGGTCCGTGCGGCGAGGAAGGATTCCTCCCGGCCGGCCCCGACGGGGCGCAGCACCGGCGCCGGGAGCTCGGCGCCCCCGAGCCGTCGGGTGGCCGGGAAGCCTCGCGGGGGAGGCGCTCGGAGGCGCGTGCCGCCCGCCCCCGCGTGGGTGAGGGTCGGGCAGCCGGCGCTGCGGAGGTGGGAAGGGGCGGAGGCGGAGAGACGAGCCCCGGGGCTGCGAAAGCCTCGGGCCGGGGCCGGTACCGGGAGCTGCGGCGGGTCGCGCGTCCCCCCGGGCCGGTCCCGGCCGCGCTTCTCCAGCTGCCCGCCTGCTCCCGCCTCCGGCTGCCTTTCGGGCTGGCCGGGTCCCCGCAGCTTTCTGCTGTTCTGCCGACACCGCCCCGTCCCCCGTCGCCTTCTCCACGTCCTTTCCACGCCGCTCCCTTGCTGGCTCCCCAGCCGCCTGAAGCATTTCATTCCTTCCACGCTGCCGCCTTCCCTGTCGCTTGTGAAAATCGCATCGGAAGGTCTCCCTCTACCCGGCGACTCGTATCTGTTCTCAGCATCTCCCTGTCTCTCTCCCTCCCTCACTGAAATCGCGTTTAGCGTTAACGAGCGGGCATTGCTTTATTTGGCCGGGGACGCAAGGGAATCGTTCTGCCTAACGTGCTTGCTGTACGTTACGATAGCCAAAGCTTATATTGCTCCGTTACGTGTCTATTTATCCAATTTCCAAAAAGTCATTACAGTAATCACATAATTATTATGTGTGCAGTTTAGGTCTCTGAGGGACTTCCGCGGGGGTTGTCGGTGGTCTCTAGCCACCTCTGGTGGTCTTTGGAGAGCATCCGTTCTTATACTTTGTCTATGGTTTGGAATTGGTCTTTCTTTGGTTTATGTTTGCACTTTCTTATCTCTTGCCTAGCTTCAGCTAGTTTGTTCTTTTTCAGAGGGCCTTAATCTTCAAGGACAATGGCTCGCGATTAGGAGTCTCCTGATTTCCTCATGGGGCCTCTCCACATCTGCGTTTCCCGGGAGGCGTTTATCACGCTCGCCTAGCTCAGGGACCTCTGTGTGACGGACAACGTGTTGCCGGTGTTTGACCAATTGCTTAAGTTTTTACACTACCCTAAACAATGTTTTTTCCTTCACTGTTTTTCAACAAGAGGGCACTGGGAGGACAGGAGGACATGGGGAAGGACTGGAGGACACTGGGGGACATTGGGAGGTCTGCGGGGCCACGGAACATAATGGGAGACCCTGGACACAAACTGGGAGACACTGGATGTGCTGCAGAGGGGCCTGGAGGACACTGGGGGCGTACTGGGAGACACGGTGGGGACTGGAGCGATATTAGGGGGTGTCTGGCAGGACTTGGCAGACCCTGGCTGGACTGGGAAATGCCGGGATGGGCACTGGGGGACACTGAGAGGGACTTGAGAGCACTGGGAGTTACCAGGGAGTCTGTGGCAGGCCTGGGAGACACTGAGGGACTCTGCAGGTGCACTGGAGGGACGCTGAGAGGGACTGGGGGGTACTGGGAGACACTGGATGGTCTGAGGGGACACGGAACAGAGCGGGAGACACACTGCAGAGGACCGTGGGGGGGATGCTGGGAGGACTGAAAGGTACTGTAAGGATCCTAGGGGGTCTGAGCAGGACTGGGAGGACACTGGACGGGCTGGGACACAGTTGGGGGCACTGGTGGGGCACTGGAAGATACTGGGAGGGACTGGAGGGCACTGGGGGAATACTAGGGGGTCTCTGACAGGACTAGGAGGACACTGGATGGACTGGGAGATGCTGGCGGGCACTGGGGGACCCTGGGAGGGACTGGAGGATACAGGGAGACGCTGAATTCTTTGGGAGGCACTGTGTGAGCACTGGGAGACACTGGGAGGGAGTGGAGGCCACTGGGGCTGACTAGGGGTTGAAGGTGCAGGGAGTCTAGTTGGTGTGCAGGGGAACCACACAGTGCGAAGCAAGTCTTCCTGGGTGCACGGGGCTCAGACAGGGTGCAGGGGGTCTGTTTAGGTTGCAGGGGGACTAGGCAAGGTGTAGTAGGGCTAGTTGTGGTGCAGGGGTTCTTTCTGGGGTGCGGGGGGGTCTGGTTGGGGTTCAGGAGGCTGAGACAGGGTGCTAGGGAGCCAGAGAGGTTACAGCGGGTCTGATTGGGGAACAGGGAGCTAAGACAGGGTGTAGGGGGCACATACAGGGTGCAGGAGGTCTTCTTGGGGGGGCAGACGGTTCAGACAGGGTGCAGGCAGGTTGCAGGGCATCTGGTTGGGGTGTGTAGGATCTTGTTGCGGTGCAGGGGTTGTGTGTTGTGTGCGAGGGGTCCAGACAGGATGCTGAGTGTCTGGCTGAGGTGCAGGGGGCCCAGGCAGGGCCCAAGGAGGCCAGGCAGGTTGCAGGGGGTCCAGAGAGGGTGCAGGGGGTCTGCTTGGAGTGCAGGGGGGGAAAGCAGGGTGCATATGGGGGCTAGTCAAGAGCAGGGGGTCTCTTTGGGGGACAGGGGGTCTACGTGGGGTTTGGGGAGCCCTTACAGTATGCACAGCTGTCAATCAGGGTGCAGGGGGGGCCAGACATGTTCCATGGGGGCTAGTCAAGGTATAGAGACCACCTGTTTGGGGTGCAGGGGGTCTTGTTGGGGTGCAGGAGACCCAAACAGGTGCAGGGGGACCAGGCAGGTTTCAGGGGTGTGTTTGGGGTGCAGGGGGTCTGCTTGGTGTGCAGAGGGCACAGACGGGGTGAACAGAGGGGAAGCGGGGCACATGGGGTCTAGTCAAGTGCAGGGGGTCTGGTTGGGGTGTGTGTGGTGGGGGAGGACAAGGTGTATCAGGGCTGGTTGGGGCTCAGGGCAACTGCTTGGGGTTCAGGGGACCTAGACAGTGTGAAGGGGCACAGGACAGCCTGTAGGGATGCCAGAGAGTTTGCAGGGTGTCCGGTTGGTGTTCAGGGAGGCCAAAGAGGTTGCAGGGGGTTTTCTTGGGGTTCAGGGCACCCAGACAGAGCGCATGGGGGCCAGACAGGTTGCAGGGGCCTTCTTGGTGTGCAGGGGGACCAGACAGGGTGCATGGGATCTAGTCAAGGTACAGAGGGACTTTTTGGGGTACAGGGGGTCTGGTTGGGATGCAGGGGTCTCAGACAACGTGCAGGGCGTTTTGCTGGGGTGCAGGGGGCTCAGAGAGGTTTCAGGGGGTTCTGGTTGAGGTGCAGGAGCTCTGTTTGGGGAACGCGGGACCCGGACAAGTTGCAGGGCATCTGTTTGCTCTGCATGGGGTTCAGACAGGGTTCAGAGTGTCCAGGTGAGGTGCAGGTGGCCCAGACAGTGTGCAGGGGTTCTGTTTGGCATGCAAGGCATCCAGGTGAGATGCAGAGGGTCTGATTGGGGTTCAGGGCACCGAGATGGAGTTCAAGGGGTGCAGGCAAGGTGCAGGGTGTTCTGGTTGGGCTGCAGGGATTGTAGACAGGGTGCAGTGGATATTGCGGGGGTGGAGGGGGTTCAGACTTGTTTCAGGGAGTTCTGCTTGTGGTGCAGGGGGCCTGTTTGGGAAGCAGGGGACACAGACACGTTGCAGGGGGTTCTGGTTGCGGTGCAGGGGGTCTGGTTGTGGTGCAAGTGTGCTAGACAGGGTGCAGGGGGTCTTGTTGGGGTTCACGTGGTTCAGACAGGGTTCAGGGAATCTGGTTGGGACGCAGGGGTCTCAGGCAGGGTGCAGGGGGCCTTGTTGGGTTGCAGGGGGTTCAGACAGTGTTCAGGGGTTCTTGGGAAGTTGGAGGAGGTTCCATTTGGGGTGCAGGGGTGCTGTTTGTGATGCAGGGGGCCCAGACAGGGTGCAGGGAGTCTTGTTGGGGTGCAGGGGGTTCAAACAGGTTTCTGGGGGTCTAGGCAAGTTTCAGGGGGTTCTGGTTGGGGTGCAGGGGGTCTGGCTTGGATGCAGGGAGCCTAGACAGAACGCAGAGGGTTCAGACAGGCTTCAGGGGGTCCAGGCAAGTGTCAGTGGGATCTGGTTGGGATGCAAGGAGCCCAGACAGGGTGCAGGGGGTCTTTTTGGTGTGCAAGGTGTTCAGACACGGTTCAGGGGGTTCTGGTTGCGATGCAGGGGGTCTTGTTGGGGTGCAGGGAGTTCAGACAGGTTTCAGGTGGTTCTGCTTGTGTTGCATGTGGTCTGCCTGGGATGCAGGTGACCTAGACACGGTGCAGGGGTTCTTGTTGGGGTGTAGGTGGTTCAGACAGGGTTCAGGGTGTCCTGTTGGGGTGCTACATGTTCAGACAGGGTTCAGGGGGGGTCTAGGCAAGATGCAGCCATTTCGGGTTGGGGTGGATGGTTCTGGCTGGGATGCAGGGAGCCTAGACACAGTGCAGGTGGTTCAGACGGGGTTCATGGGGTCCAGGGAAGTTTCAGGGGGTTCTGGTTGGTGTGCAGTGGGCCCAAAGAGGGTGCAGCGGGTCTTGTTGGGGTTTAGGTGGTTCAGGCAGCGTTCAGGAGGTTCTGGTTGGGATGCAGGGGTTCTGTTTGGGAAGCAGGGTAACCAGACCCGTTGCAGGTGTTCTCTTTTCGTTCAAGGGGGTTCAGAGAAAGTGCAGGTGGTTCTGGCTGGGATGCGTGGGGTGTGTTTGGGGCGCAGGGGGTTCAGACGGTTGTTCAGGAGGTGCAGGCAAGATGCAGGGGATTCTGGTTGGGGTGCAGGGGTTTCATACAGGGTTCAGGGAGTCCAGGAGAGATTCTGGGATTTCTGTTTGGGGTGCAGGGCCTCCAGGCAAGCTGCAGGTGTTCTGGTTGGGGTGCTGGGTGTTCAGACAGGGTTGAGGCATTTCTGTTTGTGGTGCGGGGGTTCTGGTTGGGGTGAAGGGCACCCTGACAAGTTGCAGTGGTTCTGGTTGGTGATCAGGGTGCCCACACAGGGTTCACGGGGTCCAGGCAATGTGCAGGGGGTTCTGGTTGGGGTCCAGGCGGTCTTGTTGGCATGCTGGGTGTTCAGACACTCTTCAGGATGCAGAGGGTGTGTTTGGGGTGGAGGGCATCTAGGGAATGCGCAGGGGTTCTTGTTAGGATGCAGAGATCCCAGACAGGGCGCAGGGGTGCTTGTTGTGGTGCAGGGGGCTCAGAGAGCGTTCAAGGGGTCAAGGCAAGGTGCGGGGGTTCTGTTTGGGATGCAGGGGGCCCAGACTGTGTGCAGGGGCTCCTGTTGGTGTGCAGGGAGTTCAGAGATGGTTCCGGGTGTTCTGGTTGGGGTGCAAGGGGTCTGGTTGGGATGCAGAGAACCCAGACATGGTGCAGGGGTTCTTGTTGGGGAGCGGAAGTCACAGACAGGATGCAGGGAGTTCAGACAGGTTTCGGGTAGTTCTGGTCGTGTTGTGTGGGGTCTGGTTGCGATGCGGGTGACCTAGACGCGGTGCAGGGATTGTTGTTGGGGTGTAGGGGGCTCAGACAGGGTTCAGGGTGTCTCGTTGGGGTGCTGCATGTTCAGATAGAGTTCAGGGTCTAGGCAAGATGTAGCCATTTCTGGTTGGGGTGCATGCTTCTGGTTCAGATGCAGGGAGCCTAGACACGGTGCAGGTGGTTCAGACGGGGTTCATGGGGTCCAGGGAAGTTTCGGGAGGTTCTGGTTGGGGTGCAGGGGGTCTGTTTGGTTTGCAGGGCCTCCAGGCAAGGTGCAGGGATTCTGATTGTGGCTCAGGGGGTCTAGGCAAGTTGCAGGGGGTTCTGTTTGGCGTGCAGGGAAGCAGGTGACCTAGACACGTTGCAAGGGTTCTGCTTGGGGTGTAGGGGGTTCAGACAGGGTTCAGGGGGGTCCAGGCAACCTGCAGGGGGTTCTCGTTGGGGTGCGGGGGGCTAAGAGAGGGTTCAGGGGCTCCAGGCAATGTGCAGGGTGTCTGATTGGAGTTCTGAGGGCCCAGGAAAGGTGTACGGGGTTCTGTGTGGTTGCAGGGGGTCTTGTTATTTGCAAAGGGTTCAGACAGGGTTCAGGGTGTTCTGGGTGGTGTGCAGGTATGGGGGTCGACAGTTGGGCGGGGGACCCTGAAGGGGACCGGAGGGTGGATCCTGACTGGGTTCTCGCCCTTGAACAGATAAAAATGTATCCTTAGTAGTACAACACGCCCAGCTTGTACCCAGTAACCGTGAGAGAGGAACAAAAGCTAACTGTACAATGCTTGCTAGACTAACCGTGGGAAACCACGAGAAACTGTAACTGTAGCACATGAAATCACAATTGTAGATTTTTAGGGCATAGTCCTTAGTTACAGGAGGTTGATAGGGAAAAGGCCAATAGTAACTAAGTTCAGCAACTGCCAATAAGCTGTGATCTAACTGCACTGGCTTGCCTTAAGGGTTATAAAAGGTGTGTAAAAAAGGGCAATAAAATAAATAAATAATAAAAATCATCATCATCATTGATCTGCAACCCATATTGTCATCTGTCCGTCTATATCATGACATGCAGGGGGTCTGGTTGGGATGCAGGGGACCCAGACAGGGTGCAGGGGATGTCTTGTTGTTGTTCAAGGGGTTCAGAGAGGGTTGAGGTACTTCTGGTTGGGGTGCAGGGCATCTGTTTAAGATCTGAGGGTCCCATACACATTTCAGGGGTTCTGGTTGGGGTTCAGGTTGTCCAGACAAGGTGCAAGCAGTTCTGGTTGGGATGCAGTGTCTTCAGAGAGGGTTCAAGGGGTCCAGGCAATGTGCAGGGGGTTCTGGTTGGGGTGCAGGAGTTCCATCTGGGCTTCAGGATGTCCAGGTGAGATGCAGGGTGTCTGTGATGCAGGGAACCCAGACATCGTTCTGGTGTTCTTGCTGGGGTGCAGCGCCTTCAGATGGGGTTCAGAGTGTTCTTTTTGTGCAGGGGGTCTGTTTGGGAAGCAGCGGGTCCAGACACGGTTCAGGGGTTCTGGTTGTGGTTCAGTGGGTTCAGACAGGGTTCAGGGAGTCCAGGGAAGGTGCAGCGGGTTCTGGTTGGGCTGCAGGCGGTGTTTGGTGTGCTGGGGGCCCAGACAGGGTGCAGGGGTTCTCGTAGATGTTCAGGATGTTCTGACACCGTGCAGGGGTTCTGTTTGGGAATCAGGGGACACAGACATGTTGCAGGGGTTCTTGTTTGGGTGCGGGGCTTCAGACAGTGTTCAGGGGGTTCTGGTTGGGGTGCGTGGGATGCGTTTGGGGTGCAAGGGGCACAGACGTGCTGCTGGGGATCTTGATGGTGTGGAGGGGGTTCCAACAGGATTGGGGGTTCAGGTAATTGCAGGGGGTTCTAGTTGGGGTGCAGGGCATCCAGGCAACGTGCAGTGTGTCTGATTGGAGTTCAGGGGGCCCAGACAGGGTTCAGACATCTGGGGAAAGCGTAGGGGATTCTGTTTGGGGTGTAGGGGCTCTATCTGTGATACAGAGGGCCCAGAAACTGTGCAGAGTGACTTGTTGGGGTGCAGGGGGTTCTTGTCGGGGTGCAGGTCATCCAGGCAAGGTGCAGGGTGTTCTGGTTGGGGTGCAGGGGCTTTAGACAGCGTTTAGGGTTCCATGTAAGGTGCGGGTGGTTCTGGTTGGGGTAAAGGGGGTCTGTTTGGGTTGCAGAGGCTCCAGGCAACGTGCAGAAGATCTGATCAGGGTTCCAGGGGTCCAGGCAAGGTGCAGGTTGTTCTGATTGGGGTGCAGGCAGTCTGGTTTGGATGCAGGGGACCCAGACAGGGTTCAGGAGTTCTTGTTGTGGTTCAGGGAGTCTCAGACAGGGTTCAGGGCATCCAGGCAAAGTGCAGCGCATTCTGGTTGGGGTGCAGGGTGTCTGTTTGTGATTCAGGCAACCCGGACATTGTGCAGGGTGTGTTGTTAGGGTGTAGGGGGTTCAGATATCATTCAGGGTGTCCAGGCAAGTTTCAGAGGTTTCTGTTTTGCATGCAGGGGATCTTTTTGGGATGCAGGGGCCCCAGACATGGCGCAAGAGTTCTTGTTGGGGTGCAGGGGTTTCAGCCTTCATGGCGTTCAGGCAATGTGCAGGGGGTTCTGGTTGTGGTGCGTGGGATCTGCTTTGCTTTGTGTCACAGGGCTTCCAGGCAAGGTGCAGACGGTCTCATTTGGATTCAGGAGGCCCAGAGAGGGTTCAGAGGGTTTAGGCAAGGTGCAGGGTTTTCTGTTTGGGGTGCAGGGATCCCAGAGAGGGTGTAGGGTGTCTTGTTGGGGTGTACAGTGTTCAAGGCAAGTTTCATGGAGTTCTGTTTGTTGTGCAGGGGGTCGGGTTGGGGTGCACGGGTTCTGTTTGGGAAGCAGAGGACCCAGACACGTCACAAGGGTTGTCGTTTGGATGCAGGGGGTTCAGACAGGGTTCAGAGCGTTCAGGAACTATGCAAGGGCTGCTGTTTGTGATGCAGGGGGGTTCTAGACAGGGTGCAGGGAGTCTTGTTGGGATGCAGGTGGTTCAGAGAGTGTTCAGGGGGGTCCAAGCAAGGTGCAGGCGGTCTGATCGGCGTTCAGGGGTTCCAGGCAAGTTACAGGGTGTTCTGTTTGAGTTGCAGTGGGTATGGTTGGGACGTAGAGGGCACAGACAGGGTTCAGGGGTCTCGCTGGGGTGCAGGGGCTTCCGACAGTGTTCAGGGTGTTCTGTTTGTTGTGCAGGGAGTGGTTTGGGAAGCAGGGGACTCATACTCAGTTGCAGGGGGTTCTGGTTGGGGTGCAGTGGGTTCAGACAGTGCTCAGGCGATCCAGGCAAGTCGCAGGGACTTGTGTTTGTTGTGCAGGGGGTGTGGTTGGGATGCAGAGGGTTGGTTTGTGATGCAGGGGGCCAGACAGGGTGCAGGGTATCTTGTTGTGTGGGGGGGTTCAGAGAGTGGTCAGGAGGTACCGGTTGGGGTTCAGGGTGTCTGTTTGGGGTGCAAGGCATTCAGGCAAGGTGCAGGGATTCTGGTTGTGGTTCAGAGGGACCAGACAGGGTGCAGGGGGTCCTGTTGGTTTGTAGGGGGTTCAGACAGGGCTCCAGGGACCTCTTTGGGAAGCAGGGGACCCGGACACGTTGCGTGGTTCTGGTTGGGGTGCAGGATGTTCAGTCAAGGTTCAGGGGGTCCAGGCGATTCTGTTTAGGGTGCAGGGGGTCTGTTTGCGATGTACAGGGCCCAGACAGTGTGCAGGGTGTGTCATTGCAGTGTGGGGGTTCAGACAACGTGCAGGGGTCCTGGTTGCTGTGCAGGGGGCATTGTTGGGGTTCAGGGGTCTTGTTCATGTGCAGACGGGTATTCTTGGGGTATAGGAGTTCCAGTTGGGCTTCATGGGGTACAGACAGTGTGAAGGGGGGCCAGGCAAGTTGCAGCGGGTGTGGTTGGGGTGCAGAGGGTCGAGACAACGTGCAGGTGTTCTGAGCAGGTTTCAATGGGTCTGGCTGTGGTGCAGCGGGTCTGTTTGGGTTTCCTGGGGCACAGAGCGTTTACAGGAGGTCCAGGCGAGGTGCAGGGGGTCTTGTTGGGATTCAGTGGGTCTGGTTGGGATTCATGCTGCAAAGACTGGGTACAGGGGTCCGAGCAAGGTGCAAGGAGCCTGGTTTGGGTGTAGGGGCCCCAGAGAGTGTGCAGAGGGTCCAGCAGGTTATAGCTGATCTTGTTGAAATGCCGAGGGCCCAGGCAATGTGCAGGGGGTCTTGTTGGTGTCACAGGTGTCCAGGGAATGTGCAAGTCATCTGGCTGGGCTGCAGGACATCTGATTGTTTTGCAGGGGGTCCAGACAAGGTGCGTGGGGGCCAGGAGAGTTGCTGGTGATCCGGTTGGGGTGCAGGGGATCTCATTGTTGTACAGAGGGCTGAGACAGGGTTCAGGGGTCCAGGCATCGTGCAGGGGAGCTGGCTGGGGTTCAGATGACACTGACAGGGTGCAGGGCATCTGGTTGCTGTCAGGGGGTACGATTGGCGTGTGAGGCACTCAGAGTTAGCACACCAGGGCCAAGCGGACTACAGAGGTCTGGTGTATAGAGGGTAAGTTTGGTGTGCCGGGCATCTTGTTGGGCTGCAGGGGGGCTGGTTGAGGTGCACAGGGTCCAGGCGAGGCGTAGGGGCTCTCGGTGAGGTTCAGGGGGTGTAGTTGGCCATCTGGGGCCCAGAGATAGTCCAGGGGGGCCAAGTAGTGAGCACGGAGTCTGGTGGGGTGCGGGGTCACCAGGCAAAGTCTAGGAGGTGTGGTTGTGTATGGAGGAACTCATTGGTGTGCGTCGCAGGCCAGCAAGGTGCACGGGGTCTGGTTGGTGTGCAGGGGGCTCAGACATCTATGCTGTGAACAGCACATCTTTAACTTCTTTCCCCATTCCTTCTCTTATGTTAAAACGGTAGGGTCGCTCGGAATCATACATCATCCTTTTGCCATTCCGGATGATTTAGCCACAACAAGACAAATCAACCTAAGGCACTTCCTCCTGTTGCCTTTCAGAGGCATGGCGACCTGGTTCAGGAACGCACGGCGACCAACCCCAGGCCGCTCGGGCCATCAGCTCACAGACACCAATGTGGTGGATGGC